GTGAAGCGTCTAGAGCATCTGCCTATAATGGCCTCAGTGAGCCTGTCAGTTATCCCTCAGTGAAATGTTGCCAGCATCTGGGGGTATTGTGCCTTTGCAGGCGATGTTCTAGTGCAAGACTTCCTTCTTCTCTTTTCCCGTCCCAGGACAATGCCCCTTCCACATCCTCTGGGTCCACGGGAACTTCCTTTTCTTCTGTGCAAATGGAGCCTTACCAGCCCCAGGAGCAGGCATCTACAGCACAACAGGAGCAGGGACTCCTTAACCGACCATCTGCTTTCAGCACTGTGCAAAGCAGTACTGCTGGCAACACCCTGCGGAACCTTAGCTTGGGCCCCACTCGTAGATCCCTTAGTGGGCCTTTGTCAGGCCATCCATCCAGGATCCACCCAAGAGAGATGGCCTCTGGGTTAGAGGGTTCTGAGTGGACTCGAACAGTGTTAAATATGGGCCCTCGCTCTGAGGTGGAAGGTATGCCTCCTCCTAGAACCAGTGCCTCTTCAGTGAGCTTGTTGTCAGTACTGAGACAGCAGGAAGGAAGCTCTCAGTCCTCTGTTTATACTTCAGCTACAGAAGGGCGGGGTTTTTCAGCTCCCGGAGCTGAAGCAGAAAGCAGCAACAGTGCTGGCTCAAGCAATCCAGCCAGCCTTCGCAATGAGTTTCAATGTGACTTGAGGCGGTTCTTCTTGGAATATGATAGGCTTCAGGAGTTAGATCACGGGATAGGTGGTGAGCCCAGTCAGCCACATCAGGCGCAGGAAGTGCTTAATAACAACATTGAGCCTGATAGCCCTGGTCCTTCTCATCAACAGACCCCACATAGCAGTGAGAACAATTCCAATTTGTCACGGGGGCATCTGAACCGCTGTCGAGCCTGTCACAACCTGCTGACTTTTAACAATGACACGCTCCGTTGGGAAAGAAGCACGCCCAGCTATGCACCAGGGCAGGTCCAAAACACATTTGAGGGTGTACCATCCAGCAGTAGTCAGCTACCACCTCCTGAGAGAATGGAAAGCCGAACTTCTTCCTCTAGCAGGCTGCCATTGGGAAGATCTTCTAACCCTCCAGAGGAAAGGACTGTGAGAGTGGTCTTTAATCAGGAGACGGGGCACTGGGAAAGAGTTTACAGTCAAACTGCTTCTAGTAGACCTGGGAATGTATCACAGGACGCCTTAAACCAGGAAATGCCTGAGGAAAGTTCAGAAGAGGATTCACTTAGAAGGTAAGGTGCTTGGATGCTTCTGTTTTCATACCTTACCCATCTGTATTTGAAGGCTTACCATTAAATACAAATGATATAAGAAGTCTGAAAGTTGTCCTTTATGGTATGATCACAAATGAGCCTGTCAGCAAAACTCAGTGGATGAAACATTTGGAATTTGAAGTTCAGTCCAGTCTAAAGTAGAAGAGTCAGGTATAATGGGGGAAGAAGGAACTGTACATGTTCTGAGAGGAAACGCCTGAGTAGTTGAAAATGACAGTTCCCTCAAAGTTTTTCCTTTTCATATTAATCCTTTATGGTATGATCACAAATGAGCCTGGCATTTCCTTTTCATATTAGTGAATAATTGCTTAGAGTAATTAACCAAGACACTAACAATGAGAACTGTTTGACTTGGAAGAAGGATAAAGTCAATTCTGTGGGTAACTTTTAATTTATTTTTACTTGATAATGTTAGTGAAAACTTTCTCTCTCTCCCCCTCCCAAATCCATCCATCCTTGCCAAAAATGGGGTCAGTAATTTTCAGGAAAAATTCTGGATCAGAACAGTTGACGGTTGTGAAAGAAACCATATTGGGTTTGAATTGTGTATGTTTCAGTGTCTTGTAGTACATGGTTGAGACAATATTTTAAGTGTTTTTTTCTTTGAATGTAGAAGGGAGACAGAATGGGACTGTCCTATAACAAGCAGTAATGGAACTTAAGTGTGTTTTGTTTTGGGTGAGCGAATGAGAAATAGGGAGAGTTTATCTCATCAGGAAAACAGCTTCTGAGTTGAAATGGGCACAGTTGTTAATTCTTTTTAGACACATGTTGAATTTTGGTGATGATAAAACAATCCTATTTTAAAATTCCTGCCTAATTTTTCACATTCTGTTTTGGCAATCTGCTGATACCTTGTGAAATGAAAAATTCTCCTCTTGTCCTAAATTTACTTAACACTATTCTTGCCAGGTGTCTGTTCTTTCACAAATGATTAATCTAACCTTGAGTGACTTTTGTCTATAAAGTGTTTATATACATATCTCCTCTTTTACACCTATCAGTATGTATAAAGACCTCTACTTGCCAACTGGTACTCAGTTGTTGTATCAATTCAGATACTTTTGTATGAGTCAAAAGATTTTCACCTCAAGCTGAACTGCTGATATGCTTTGAAAGACATGGGGAAAAGAATACTGAACCACAGACAACCATTTTGAAAGTTCAGTTTTTGTCATCTATCACAGGGCTGTCATAAACCTAGCTTTTATTTAAAATTGTGAGGTTTATTCCCAAGAGTGCTTAAAGGAAAAAAAAATTGCATTTGGTCAAAGTACAGTATTGATTTGTATTCTCTCTTAGAGAAGCTTTGATGTGGTGTACTGTTGCCACTAGGGGGCAGAAGAGGCAGAAGGTGCATCTGTGATGGGAACTGAGTGAGTGTGGATTTCTTGATGTTAAAGAAAAGTGGAGATAAACTGCAGAGAGCCCCGTGAAGCCTTGAGACTGTGTTTGGGGGAAAGTAAAGTAAATGCAGTGGTGGATCTATTGTGGAAGCGATAGGTGATGGCTCCAAAAACATCTGTAAGCTGAAAATTCCTAACAAATATGAGTAATACTTTTATGTGTACTTATTTTGGTTATACAAACATGTGTCTTTTTTTCTTCTCTGTATCTTTGCTGTAAGGTATTCATGCATTTCCATTTACTCAGTATCAATTCTGTGCTTTGTTTTTATATATTGTGCTAGATGTATCTTTGCTGTAAGGTATTCATGCATTTTCATTTACTCAGTATCAATTCTGTGCTTTATTTTTATATTTTGTGCTAGATGAGTGGAACATCTGTAGGAGTAACTGTTCAGAACTCAATGACAGTGAGTAGGATTTACCATGAAAGAGTACTGAGGCAAATGTATGGGAAATTTGTATCTTGGGAGTCCCTTTTCTTCTAGTGCAATTAAAATATAGAAGGTAAATAAACTCTTCCTGAGGGGATTGGCTGAGTTTGCTCTATTCAGGCTCTTCTTTCTTTGATTCCAGTGATCTGCCTGATCCAGTCTTTGAGTTGTCTTAACTGTCATAGTTGGTTATTTTCTGCTACCTCCTTTGAGGCTCTGGCAGCTGTGCTCAGAATATCTGTCAGTCATTTTCTGAACAGATACTTCTTGTTATGTTAAATCAGTGTGAAACTAGTAGCCCAGTGCTTGGCTTGTTCTGGTATTCAGTCCATGTCGATTCTTGTACCATACAGCTGTTGTAGCTCTTCTGGACAAATCATTATGGCACATGCTCTTCTGGCTACATTTGGAGATATTTTTCTTCAGAAGAAGATCCTACAGATATGCTAAGCAGTAGCATTATGAACCAATTTGCCTTTCTCATGCTGGTATTATTTTATCCAATAATCATATAGGGGAGAGACAGTTACATACAACCTTTTACTCACAATTTCCTAGCAAAGGAGAGGGGCAGTGACCAAGTCAGCAGATCTTATGCAAGAAATGTTTTCCATTTGGCTTTCAGATTCGAACCCTACCATTAGCAGTGTAATAAGAAACTATTGGAAAAAATGTGCTGCAGGAAGCAACTATGAACCAAAAGTTGTTCCTAGCAGAGCCTTTCTATTAATGATGGAAAGCAATAGGGTGAAGGTGATCACTGTTTGATAGTTAATGTGAGGCAATAGCGTGTGTAGGTGGATACTGCTGAGAATGAAGTAGGAAGCAATGGAAGAAACTGGAATTCAGATGGCAGTCTGCACTTACTTGTACATCCTTTTCATAAAGTGGGCATTAAGCACCAGATTGAGCTTCTGAGAAGCTATCAAAGGCATTGCATGCCAGTACTTGGAATCTTGAGACTGTTCAGGTATAATCATTGGTGTGAAGTCAAAATATGACACATTTTTGAATTTGCTCTAAATTGATGATGAAGACAAAATGTGCTTTTATCATACAGTGATTTCCTTTTGTTACTACCCCTGTGTCCACATATGGGAGTATCCCCTTACCGGAAGTTTAAATGAGGTGAAGAGGGAGTTGGTAGAGGGAAATGGTAGTGGCTGATGAGTCACATATCTAAATGTGGAAACTGCTGAATCAGGATCATATGGAGAAGAGGGCAACCTATTACCAGTATTTCCTTGTCATGTTCCCCCAGATTGGAACACTGTTTCATCCACTACACTCATTGGCAAAAATCCTTTTGGAGAAAACCATGCATGTTAGTTGTGCAGGCATTCTGCTGCATACCATCTGGCATGTTGCTGTTTCCCTGATCTGTGGAAGCTGAGGAGTATGTTGGCTAACCTGTTGTACAAGTAGACTAGTGGGTCAGTTGTCTGCTTATGTTCCCTGGGACAGTAGAATTCTGGCCATGAACCAGGGTGAGGATGAAGAGAAGTACAAGTAACTCCCAAGGAAAATCCTTAGGCTACATTGGTGGTCTAAAGTTTGGGTAGCAAAAGAAAATATCCTTATAGTAAGTAATGCCCATTGCTAGTTCATCCAGCAGATGTCACACTCCGCAGTACAGTTATTGAGTTAGTAGCTGAAGCAGGAGATGAGAACAGCATGCAGAATCTGTTTGCAGTCTCTTTGTGGCAGTGTTTTTCTTGCCCTGTTTTATAAGTTTAAAAAGTTGCTTGTTTGGGAAGCTTGTGTCTACAGCAAGTGAATGGTATTAGTAATGACTAAATGAAGGTTGACCCTCTTTGGATCATGTTTTGCTGATTGGCCATGTGTGAAAGGAGAGTTCTGTTCTTTGAATGGGCTCTAATTATCTTAGGCTAATTATACAGACATTAATAAGCATCTAATTGGCTTTCTAAATTGCATCTCTGTTCTCATTTTGTTAATGGAGGGATATACCCAAAACCATTATTAAAAGAAGCACATGCCTCTTCCACTTGGTTTGACCTTAAAGTGAAAGGATGAACTGTATAGGATGACTTAGTACATAGAAATTCCCTGGTCTTGCTATGGGACTTTGGCCTCTGGATAAATGTGTGATGCAAGAATTTGTAGGCATGAATGTATGCAAGTACAGTGGTGCCTTGCTTAACGAGCGCACCGTATAACGACGAAATCGCATAGCGATCCGTTTTTTTGGATCGCTAATGCGATCGCTCAACGTCGTTTAGATAGGGCGAAAATCGCTTTACGAAGATCGGTAAGCGTTTCGCTTACCGATCTTCGCAAAACGAAGCCCGACGATCAGCTGTTCGGTGGACAAAATGGCCACCGGAAGCTCCGTAATGGCCGCGCACTGCGTTTTTGCGCCCTCCCTTTGCTTAACGAGGGCGCGAAAATGGTTGCCGGCCATAGGAAACCTCGCTGAACGGTGAGTAAAGGAGCCTTTTGGAACGCATAAAACGATGTTTAAAGCGTTCCAATGGCTTTCCCTGTCCTGTTCAGCGATGTTTCGCTGTAGCGAAGGTTAATCCGGAACGGATTAACCTCGCTATGCGAGGCACCACTGTAATGTGAAATAAGGCCATATGGCTGCTTTAAATAAGTAAGGGATGTGAAGACTTACCGGTAATTTTCTTCTGGGTTTTTCAGATGACTTCTAACTGAAGGACAGGCCCATTTGTTTTCAGATGCCTTCACCATCTGTTTGTCTGTATTTATTGGATCCCAGAGTAACCAATCTTTGGAAATATTGCTGTATCATTGTATAAACTACTTTATCCAATTTTACAAGTGTATGAGAGGAAAATAACTGAGGAAAACACAGTGTTTGGCATCTTCTGGTAACCTTTCTGCAGTGTACTTACCTAAGTTAGTGCTGTTCTATGATTGTTTACTCATAAGTAAGTTATCCTATTGTACTTTTTTATTGTTGGAGAGTAAGATAAAGTATGTAAGCCTTCAAGAATACATATGTAACATTCCTTTGTGCAGGTTTGTGTGTTCTTTAAAGTTTTTGTTATGTGCCTTCAAGTTGGAATCGATCTATCTATCTGTTCTATCTATCTAATCTATCTGACTTATATACTGCCCATCTAGAACATGT